TAAAATACTCAGGGGACTGAGTAAGGGGGATCTCAAGTTCAAGACCTACCTGGGCTGTGGAGTGAGTTCAAGGCTAGATAGGCTAACTTCAAAATTTAAAAAATAACAAGAGACTTGAGAGTATAACTCATTGTTAGAATGTTTGCCCAAGGCTCCAGGTTCAATTTCCAGTATAACAGTAGCAGCAGCAGCAGCAATAATAATAATAAATAGCAATAATAATAATAATAATAGAAGACAAAAGGAATATTACACTAGAAACAATTGAAATAATAATTTGAAAAATAATATGCCAATAATTCGGAAAGTCTAAGAAAATGGACAAATTTCTGTATATATGGCCTATCAAAATTGAACCCCCAATATGAAAAATCTAAATAAATCAATAGCAAGCAGTGGGGCTGAAAGTATAATAAAAAAAAAATCTTCCATCAAAAAAAAGCACAAATCCTGACATGTTTGTGGTAGTGGGAATTGAATTTAGGGCTTTGCACATGCTATACATGATGTGGGAGTGTCATATATCAATCTGTTGATTTCATTGGGTAAGCAATAAAGAAACTGCTTGGCCCTGATAGGTTAAAACATAGGTGGGAGGAGTAAACAGAACAGAATGCTGGGAAGAAAAGGAAGTGAGCTCAGAGAGAAGCCATGCTCCCCTCTCCCAGGCGGACGCGAGAGCTCTGCTCTCTGAGGCACATGCAATGAAGCTCCAACCCAGGATGGACGTAGGCTATAATCTTTCCCGGTAAGACTGATGCTACACAGATTATTAGAAATGGGCTAGTCCAGGTGCAAGAGTTAGCAGAGAAGAGGATAGATATAATGGGCCAGGCAGTGTTTAAATAAATACAATTTGTGTGTTGTTATTTCGGGGCATAAGCTAGCCAGGCGGCCGGGGTGCTGGGGACGCAGCCCCGCCACTCCAATTATTACATATACAGATGCTCTACAACCATTATTTTAAAAACAAAAACAAAAGCAAAAAAACTAACACCAATGGTCCTTAGACTACACCATAAAGTAGAAAGAGAAAGAATGGAGCTGGATAGCTCACTAGTTAAGAGCATTGGTTGCTATTCTAGAGAACCTAGGTTTGATGCACAGTACCCGTATGATGGCTTTCAACTGTCTGTAGCTTCAGTTCTATGAGATCCAAAACCCTCTTTTGGCTTCCATGGGCACCAGACACACATGTAATTCACAGATATATGTGCAGCCAAAATACCATATACAAAAAAAGTAAAATAAAGAGAAAAAATCTTCCAAATTTATTCTATGAAACCAATATCCTTTATTGAACATACATGTAGAAAGCCTGTTAACTACTTCAAAACTTAATTCAGTGACATCAATGAAAAGAGTTGGCTTCATTTCAAGGATGCAAATATAATTCAACATACAGAATTCAATAAATACAATATATAAATATAGTAAAAACAATCACACCAACACCTTAGTAGATATGGAAAAAAGGCCCCCAATAAAATTCAACATCCTCCCATATAAAATAAGCCTGAAGAAATTAGGTAAAATAGGACTGTATCCTCACAGAATAAATGCTAAAAAAATTTAAAAATTAAATAAATGCTAAATACAACCTATAGCGAATATCATACTGAATAGGGGGAAACTGAAAGCAACTAAAAAAGAGTTTCCATTCTCTTTTACTTTACTTAATATAGTACTTGAAATGTTGAGCAGAAAAATCAGGCAAGAGAAAGAAAGAAAATAAATACAAATAGGAAAGCAGAATGTCAAATTCTTTCTGCTTATAAATATGATACTGATAAAATAGCAATACCACTGATGGTGATCTACAGATTCAATGTAATCCCCAACAAAATGTTAATAATGTTCTTCAGAAAACTAGAAAAAATATTAAACTCATATGGAGAGCAAAAGACCTTGAGTAGCCAAAGCAGTCTTGAGCAAAATTAATGGAATACAACAGAGGGCCCAGAAGTAAACCACACAACCACAGCCACCTGAGTTTTGAAACAGATGCCCTAAGCTGATTGGCTGGGGATCAAACTGAGGATCACATGATTACTTGGAAATTAGTCCTCCATTGAGCTAATTCCTAGTCCCTGAAGTCTAGTATTGAAACCTGTCTATATGATGTGTAGATATGTATTTTTGAGTTTTTGAGATAGGCTGTCACTTTTTAGCCCAGGCTAGTCTTGAACTTGTTATTCTCCTGCTTCTGCTTCCAAGGTATTGAGATTATAAGTATGCATTATCATCCTTGGGTTTTTCTGTTTGTGTATATAAACAGTGTTCATGATGGAAACAAGGGCCTAGTGCATTCTGGGCATGTACTCTATCCCTGAGCCAAATCCTCAACTCCAAACCAGTCTTTTTGTAGAAGGACTTTGCTTAGCTCAGGTTGTGCATTAAAATTACTTGGTTAGGTTTGTAAAATGATTCCTGCTTAGACCCTACCTCTAGGAAGTTTGCTTTATATGTGCTAAACAAGTTTTAAAGTTTTCCAGGTACATTGGGGAGGCAGAGGTAGGTGAACCTCTGAGTTTGCAGCCAGTCTGGTCTACAAAATGAGTTTCAGGGCAGCCAGGGGTGTTAAACAGAAAAACCCTGCCTCAAAAACCAAAACAAAACAAGAACAAAAAAGTTAGGTAATTCTAATGTACAATGGGACTCAAGAACCCATAGCTTAAATACATCACTTTTTTGTGTTTGTGGTGCTGACGATAGAACTCTTGAGGCTTTGCACATGTTAGGTAAATGCTCTACCACTGAAGACAGTCTCCCATTCCCTACAAAGCATTACTTTTAATATTCTAAAGATTTCATAATATGATGAAGAAAATATTCATGATTAATTATAGAAATGTTACATTTAAAGCTAATGAAAGTTGCTGATAACATAATTAGTTTCTTTTTTTTCTTTTCTTTTTCCTTTCTTTTTTTTTTTTTTTTTTTGATTTTCAAGACAGGGTTTTTCCGTAGCTTTTGGTTCCTGTCCTGGAACTAGCTCTTGTAGACCAAGCTGGCCTTGAACTCACAGAGATCCGCCTGCCTCTGCCTCCCGAGTGCTGGGATTAAAGGCGTGCGCCACCGCTGCCGGCTCATAATTAGTTTCTTTTTCTTTTTTTTTTTTTTTGGTTTTTCGAGACAGGGTTTCTCTGTGGCTTTGGAGTCTGTCCTGGAACTAGCTCTGTAGACCAGGCTGGTCTCGAACTCACAGAGATCCGCCTGCCTCTGCCTCCCGAGTGCTGGGATTAAAGGCGTGCGCCACCATCGCCCGGCTTCATAATTAGTTTCTTATAGTTAGTTGACAGGTAAAGTTTAAAAAAAAATATTTTAAAAAAATCTATATCCTACCTTGTAAACATTTCTGTATTTCACAGGCTTGTTTCTGGCATGGATCCTTTTGTGGCATATCCAGAAAACTAAAACAAAAAAAATATTACAATTTTGCTTTTTTAATAATAAAGATTTTGATGTCTATCTACATGGAATTTTCTTCTAGAGCAAATAGTATGACCTTACAATTGTTGGAAAAATGATTGCACTAAAAATACTCTTTCTTAATTAATAAGATAAATCAACTATATTTTGTATTTCCATCTCATTAAGAACAGAAGATACAGACATGAAAAAAATCAGTCTAGTCATCTTGAATATTGTAAACAAATGTTGGAATGACACCACAGTTTTAAAGGCCTACCCCAATGCCTGGTTTTATGATTCACAAAAGGAACCCTTGGTAAATGATTAAACTTCTTGAATACTTTTTCTTTCACTATTCATGGCAATAAGAATTATACATACCTCAAAGAACTGACGGAAGGACTAAACATGATAAAATATATAAAGTGCACAGAATAGTAACTGGAAAGCAGTAAGAACTCAATACACAGTAACTATTATAACCAAGTGATTTTTGTTTGTTTTAAGACATGGCCTCATTATGTTTTTTAGGTTGGCATTAAACTCCTGGGGTCAAGTGATCCTCCTGCCTCAGTCTTCCAAATAGCTGGGATTACAGGCATGCACCACTGTTCTGGGCCCAAGACTTATTTTAAAAAGCAAAATCTTACTTTAATGTACATAAACTGTCATGACTGCTTTAATTCAGGAAATTCTTTACAAGTAAAACAAACACTTTCCCAGGAATTAGTAATGTTAATTGCTATTATCTCTTGAGAAAAGTGCCAATAAAAGGTAACATTATCTTTTGAGCTCAAATGGAAGCCAACTAAGTAAAATATTTGTAATCAAAGAATTTAGATTCACAGGCTTTTGATGAGAATCTTGTAAAAACAAATCAAAGACACAGTTTCAGAAAGAAGAAAGGCATAGGAGCCTTTGAAACTAATTTCATCAGTACAAATAACCTTTTTCTCCCAGAACTCCTCAAGTTTTCAGTATATCCAAATTACGTCAGTACTGGGATGGGAAACACTAGAATAAAACCTTAGGTATTTACAGGATGGAAGAAGGAAAGGCGGGTGAATTTGCTGCAAGGGAAATAAGTGACAAATACATGTTGATGCTGCTAGAAGCTGCTCTCTTCTCTCTAAATCAGTACCAAGTCCTTGTTGATGAGGGTATTTGTTCTGAAGCATGTGCTGATTTTTCTGGGATTCACCAAATCCCAGGTTCAGCTGATGAAGTCCATTAAAGGTTCTATGGCAATTTCCAAAGGAGTCATTTCAAGTTACATTTCCTGACTAAATGCTTTTGTTGGCTTGATTTCTGCCCTGTGTAACCCTCTCTCTGTAGTTTCACTGGCAGTGTTCTTCATGACCCTTCCTAAACATCTGCAGTTTTCAAACTACTCCCTCCCCACAAGGACCCAAGGGTGGGAGCACTGCAGTGGTGAATGATGTGATTGCCATATAATGAATTGAACAGAGAAGCACATCTTCTTAGAATTCCAGCACCTGAAAAAAAAATCATTCAAATCACTACAACTGAATAGAGTGAAAAGAAAGAAAGGGAAGAAGGAGAAAAAAATAGAAATACATACCAGGTTAATCATCAGGCAAAAGTTTAAGCAGTAGTTCCTGTACTCCCCTGACCTGTCAGAAAAGGGAACGTTTATAAAGTACTCTGTTGTAAGATCTTCAGGACAAAGGAATATTATTGAATAAAATGTGTACCATGAAATGATGCTGAATCTGCCATAAGCGAGAGTTGTTATCCATATAGCGCTCCTCTGGGTAGAGCTGCCACATGAGAGGTAGTTGGGAAGTAAGAAGGTGACTTGGCCGAGTTGCATCACCTAAAGGAACCTGAATTTGCTGAACTCGAGCCTTTAGGAAACTTGTCTCCTAATAGGAATGATAAATATAAAACCAAAGACATGAGAATACTGAGACTAGATAGAAACCAGGTTACTTGAAAGTAAAAGCAAATAAATAAATAAATTTTAAACGAAAGCAGTTACCTCTTCCACCACAGCTACCCATGTGCGTTGATATTCATCGCGGTAGATACCTTCTTGATGAACCCAGAGATGATCGGGTGGAGCCCCCACATCCTCTCTTGCCATTCTGGGCTTTGGGTTCCAATTCTAGCCCTGCTTTTCTCCACCTAAGCCTGCAGCATCCGCGCACAGGACACAGGTGTGACTTTTAAGGTTGGGATGAACTCACTAGTGAGCAAGGTGACCTGGGACTAGCAACCCAAACAGAACCAAGCCTCATACATATCTATTTGTACAATCTAAACATATCAAATGCCATCTTAAGCTTTCTGAAAAAGAAACTCAAGTGACACACAGGCAAAGCCTAGGTACACCTAACTTTCTATGGCAAAGCATTCAAGAATTCTAAGTTTGTTCTGTGGAGAGATGAGAACTACAGGAGGCTGGACACAGTTCCTCTCTCATCTACATCGACAAAGCAGTATTCAACGGTAGTGTGTTAACAATAGAAAATGTGCAAAAGTGTACTTAAGGACACATGATTTTGGTAGAAAAGTAGTGAAACAGACACATGCATCCCATATTCCTCAGATAAAAGCCACTCCCCAACTGCTTACATTTTAAAAAAGATTCTTAATGATGTATACAGCTTTCTAAAATGAGTCTAAGTTTGTTATAAGGGGAAAGGAAATATCTGTCATTTTATTTAAAAAGTTATTTATACTAGTGAGGCTTATCAGAAAGGGATTTTCATTTTAGGAAAAATATTTAGTGTAGTTTCATGACTTTCTGAAAGCAAATAATAGCCATCCAGCTAGCTCCCTATTTCATTTAAGTAGTATGTCATAGAAGCCAGTTTTTCAACAGAGGTATAATTGTAAAATTTTTATTCTACAAACTAGAAGGTTAAAAAATATTTCTCTGCTCTTTACGAGATGTAAATAAAGTACTGTTCTCAGAGTTTGTGGTAGCAAGGAAACTCTCCATAACAGTTCTATGCCTAGCTTTTGAGCTCATAACTCCACATGCATTTTCATGAATAGAATCTTGTGGAAACCACTCATAGCATCATGATGCAGATTCACTGTATTCCTACTTTTTGCAGAGCACAAATACATCAGTGGGTATCTGTCCCACAGTAGAGACCCCCCATTCTTAATAAGTAGCTATTAGTGGGAAAGGAAATGAAGCATAGTTTGGGAGATAGTTAGGGCCTTCAAAGTGATACTGTCCAGAGCACACATGGAATGAGAAGAAGCAAAAAATAAAGGAATGAAGCTAAACCTAGTCCTTTTTTTGTCAAGGACACCATCCTGAATATGATTCCCCCAACACTGTTTTTCTGCTCATCCCCTAAAAGAAAAGTAGGAGTAAAAACTATTGTCTCAAAACGGGTATGTTGGTGCATGCCTGTAATCCTAGCATGCCAGAGGCTGAACAAGGTTCAGGCCATCTTGGGCTATATATATATATATATATAGAAAATTTGAGGCCAACTAGTATACATAACTTAGCTCTAGGTTAACTACATAAGGAGACCCTGTCTCAAAAGAGAGAGAAAGAGAGAATATGGTCACATTTGTGTGACGAATTAATAGGTATGATTGCTATCCATTTTATTTCCAGAGTGATTATGACTCTGAACCTGTCACATGTCCCCTTTTTCACCTAGATGTACTCTCTCATTTTCAATTTACTTATGATAGCATCCTTTCTCCTTAACCAAACACTGCTTTCTGTATGGCAATATGACATTTTCTGTACACTCAAAAGTTATGAGTTATCTTGAATTTCTTCTTCTCATTCAGTTGCTACACCCTATGGTAAGCAAGTCCAGCAAATATCACAATTACCACTGTATTTAAGCCAAAATTTCTTTCAAATACCAATGTTGTTTCAAGCTGCATACCCTTGCTCTTGCTTTCTATCTGCCTAAAATGCATGAGTCTCTTCTTATATATGTTGTAAGCCATTTTTTTCACTTAGAAAATACAAGTGTTCTGCTTCTCTTGTAGAGCTTTAGAAATACATACAATACCCCCAGTAAATTTCAATACAAAAATAAAAACGAGCACACACACATATGCACATACACACACATTTTTTAAGCAGGAACCAACTGTTAAAATTTCAAGAACATCTCAATTTCATAGATATAGATAGGTCCTAGCAACAACCAACATGTTGACATTTAAATTTCTTTTGAATAAAAACAAAACTTTATTGGTCATACTGACATTGGAAGGAAATAATTCCAGGGGAAGAGAAGGCAGATAGTATGTGATATTCTGAATTACTATCAGGCACTACAAAATATTCTCAGAAGAAATAGTGGGTTGCTGTGACCTCCAAAGGGTAACAGGCTGGGTATTGATGAGATGAGCCTGGGAATGGAACAACACTCAGCACTTAAGTCTGGATTTGTGTGTCCTATCATTCAGAGCATAAGGGCCCAGAGAAAGGCAACTGCAGTGATCAAAGGACTGATAAACCACCACATGACTATGAAAACATCAACACCCTCACTAGATAAAAGCAAAGGCTGAGCAAAAGGCATTTAGATCAAAGTCTATAAAAATCACATGTTGGATGAATGAAACATCGTTTCCATAGATGTGATTCTTTAGAACACTTGATCCCAACATTTCCTTGGTCAAATAAGTTTGGGAATATTGGAGATCATAAAAGCATATTAGTATATAAAAACTCCAACTAAGCTATACTGTACAGAGATTTTATACAGTTTAACATTTCCCAAATTTAATTGACTAGAGAACATTTTTGGCATATTGTATTTGTTCACAAAACACAAGATTCTCCAAACTAAGAATATCTTAAAACTGCAGGATAAATTTAGTTACAAGGTACAATACAACACATGTAATATAAACCTATGAAATTTTACTTAAAAAAATACTACAAGTTTCAAATACAACTGCAACCCAAAATACGTTTGTATAACTTTACAGCTAAACATCCACTAAAAGAGATGGCCTCCATAGAAGTTGCCTTGGTTCCAAAAGCCATATTGACCTAGACACATTATTTTTATACATTTTGTAAATTAAGTTCTAAATAAAAGACAGAATACAGAGGAGCTTTCTTTGGTTGTAATTTAAACAAAACCATCTTTTTTTTTCCTTTACAGAAAGAATGGTTTTGTATTTTTTTTCTTTACAAGAATATGACTTACTTTAATTTTGAGGTATTTGAGCTTTTAAATAGTATCAATAGGTTGAATAGGCTAATTATTTGAAACCATTTACGATCCTCATCCAATTATAATTTTAGTTGCCAAATCACATAGGCCCAGGTATCAGCTGGGCTGATGAATGAATCCTGCTTGTACCATTTAGAAGCTTTGCAACCCTCAGACAATCTAATCTTTCTCTACCTCAGTTTCCCTGAGGTATAAAATTATAAACATATTGACTGCAAAGGTATTTATTAAACACTTCTCATATGTTTTAACATATGTTTAGGTGTCAGGTGGTGGTGGCACTCACCTTTAATCCCAGCACTCAGAAGCAGAGACAGGAGGACCTCTGAGTTCAAGGCCAGCTTGGTCCACAGAGAGTTCCAGGACAGCCAGAGCTACACAGAGAAACCCTGTCTTGAAAAACGAAAAATAAAACAAACAAAAAACAGAAACAAAAACATGTGTAGGTACATTGACCCATTTGATCTTTGCGGAATGCTATGAGATGGGCATTTGTATTATACCTAATTAAAGGTAATGAAAGTAAGACACAGAGAAATTAGATAACCAGTCCACTAGTTCGTTCACATTGCTAGAGATTGCAGACCCTGATTCCAGTTGAGGTAGTTTACACACACTATGTATGTAAATTTGTAGTAGTCTTTAGCACATAATAAGCTTGCTGTGAATGTTAATCATTATTTCCATCTCTGATCAAATGTTTGGAGCTGTAAAAGGTAGAATGAACATTCTGGAATAAGAGACTGACTAAAAACAACAAACAAAAGTATTTTCTTCTTGAAGGTGGCTAAAGAGATAAATTATAAAAAACATTCCTTACACAATTGTAATAAGGTGAGCAGTACTTTCTGTCCCACCAAGGCAGGACATGTTAGTTATGAACAATAACTGAAAATATATAACATATGCCATAAAACTGAACGTTAAAGAGAAAATGCAGATAGGTCCAATACACCCCTGCAATTTCTCCAACATTTATCATTATAAAACTTAATCACGGAAAGATGTGGCATAAACATAAGGTAAAAAGAGAGGTTGTAAGGCATATATATTGCACCATAGTGCCCTGGATTTGGGACTTGTGCTAAGACTTTGATTGGAACTGACTTCGGAGAGGAGAGCAAAGCATCAACACCTCTTCAAGTAGCAGCTTGAATAAGTTCCCTTTCCAGTACTGCCATATCTGTCTGGCTTCAGAACTACAAAAGGAATTTGAAAAAAACAAATTCAAACAAAAACTTACGTGCTATGGAGACTGTGTGTTATATATTTTGTTTTCATTTATAATAAATACTAAATCCCTCGTGTAATTGGTAAACTTGTAAATTGGAAGATTTGTACATTTATCCCTTAGTTCATTGACATATTTTAAAACAAAATTAGTTTTACATATAAGTTAATCATGTCTGACACCAGTAAAGAGATCAGAGGAAATTTGTAATTTCCTAGAACTAGTTACTTGATGTGATATAATCGAACCTGAATAAAATGTGAAGTCCCTCTCTCAGTCCTTCTTTTCCTGTATCAAACAAATCCATATCTAAAAGCTTTTGAAAAAAAACAGCAAGCAAACTGGAGTTGCTTTTTCAGACACAGTAAAACACTGTTTCTGTAAAAGGTTACTCACATGAATATGTTTCTTGGACTAATTACTCCTCTTCCAGAACAGTTAGGCTAAAACTTTCAGGTCCCCCACCCCGGGACACTCAAGCAGGGATCGCGACGTGAGCCCAGGGCAAACCAAGGGGCATCCAGGGCCGAGGTCACTAGAATCGAAGTTAGTCAGGCCAGCAGCCAGAAGTGGTCCAGAGAGATTCAAGGGTTGTGACTTGGAAATAAAACAAAATAAAATAAAACCTTAACTGTTTTAGGACCGACTTTCAAAATAGGTCGTTGTTCCTGGCGAAGTTGCCTCAAAGAGCTGTCCCTGACGAGTGTAGGCCGCGTAGGGCGCTCCTCAGAGGGCGGGCAAAATGGGCGCCAGCACTATGGAGGCATCTGCCCTTGTGCTCGGAGTTGCTCACCGCCCACGTACGCCCCGGCAGAAAAACACTGCCTCCCTGCCACCCAGCCGCCCAGCGGCCCAAACTATGGCGCAGACTGACTTTGCCCGCCACCACCCAGTTTCCCACTGTTACGCCAGCCCAGACCGACCCGGGAGTCTCCCAGGTACTGCTAGCAGTGGCACCGCCTCCGCGCCCCAGGCTCCACCCTCGTGAAACCCGCGCTGCTCGGCCAGGCCTGGGGCGGAGCGTCGGGCGACAGGCTGGGAAGGCTGCGTAGGAGCACCCGGTTGGCCAGGCTGCTGTAAGCCCTAGGCGGATGTGAGTGGAACCGACAAAGATGGCGGTGCAGGTGGTGCAAGCTGTGCAAGCGGTTCATCTTGAGTCTGATGCTTTCCTAGTTTGTCTCAACCATGCTCTGAGCACTGAAAAGGAGGAGGTGATGGGTCTATGTATAGGGGAGGTGAGTAGGTCGGCCAACCTGGCTGAAATCCTGCTGATCAGTACCCAGTGGTCTCTGAAGCGGCTGGGAGGCCACAGGAACGCAATTTAGGTCCTTTGCGTTTTCTAATGCTGTTGTGGGGTCCTTTTTCTCTGACCCGTGCTTATGTTCCTGCAAACCCTCAGCGGTCTGCATGAGCCCACGGGGGTGGGGGTTATCACACCAGTGAACAAAGCAGCAAATCGGGCCAGAAAAACATTCTGGTATAATGAAGATATATTAGGAAACAAGCAGCCCACAATTACAGTACCCTCTCGTTCCACCACCAGATTTCCTTATGGGAAGCAGAGCTATCACTAAAGCATTCTAAAGTATGGCAAAGTACTCAGGTCAAATGGTTTCGTGGACTCCAAAGTCTCTGTTGTGGTTAAATGCTACAGAGTTGTGAAAGTAGTTGAAGAAATACAGTGTAGTTGTAAAGTGCTGAAGATTGAATTCTCTAGTCCTTCATGTTGTTGTGGTGTGAACATATTACCTAATTTTCATGTAAAATTGCATCTCTATAACTAAATAACAATGTGCCAGTAATGTTTTCTGCTCTTTCCTACTCCAGTTGAATGATGACATAAGGTAAGACAATATTTGTTTACTTACATCATATTATAATCTCTAAACTGATACTTGGTGAAAAACTGCAACAACTTTGTAATCGTGTGTACACATTGTATCTTAACATGAACAGTACAGAACTCTCTCAACAATACAATCTGAGTTCCACCACAATCCTAAAGGTTCATTTTAACGTTATATCATAGCATGACTTTTATTTTTTTTTCTTTTTTCTTTTTTTTATTGAAAAAAAATTCCGCCTCCTCCCCGCCTCCCATTATGACTTTTATTTGAGATATTTATGCTCCCGGGTGGAAAATTCTGGCTGAAGGAACCAACATCGTAAGTGAACCTATCAAAGTTCTTATAAGTAGAATTTTGTTGGAGCTCCAGGAGCCCAATTGGTTACTGCATGAGAGGTACCTGGATGGAACTTTTTTGACTGAAATAATATACTTGACTTTGGTTCTATTGCTTTCCATTTTCTTGTTTTGTGTTTTACATTCTCTGTTCTCTGAATTGTCAGAGATATGCCAGTAACTTTCACTGTGGCACATAATGTCCACACATTGAGAGGCTTTTCCCTGTGTATCCATTCCTCCATCTAAATTGTCAGTGGATTTCAGTCCTGTTGCACCTCACCCCCTATGAACCTTAGAGGTTCCTAGATTTCAGTCCTGTTACATCTTACCCGATATGAGCCTTAGAGGTTCCTAGTAACGTGAAAGCTTGAGAGATAGTAAAACCTTTGGGTCCCCTTTGTTTAAACTGCAAAGCATAGATTATTGTTTATCAAACCCACTCCTTAATACCTGGAATCTACTCTGTTCCCCTTCCCTCTTTTGTTTCAGCTAAGGTTGCATTGCAAAAACTATTTATCTTATTTTTCCCTTGACTCCTTTTTCTATTCCAAACCCCAGTTTCCCCCCTTTTCTAATCTATCTCCAATAGGAGTGACTCCAAATTTACATACACTGGAACTGAAATGCGCACAGTTGCAGATAGCTAGGTTTTCCTTCAATATATCAGAGCCCAATGATTCTGTAAACTACAATAAAAATAGTTTCTTATGCTTTCTCCAAGCTATTAGGCCAAGCATCTACTTATTATCTTTATATACAAACTCCTTCACCATAACCACTTAAACCACCTTTCTTCCTGTGTTAAAGTTTTCTAGAGGAACAGAGCAATAGAATTGGGATCTATTTCTTTCCCTTTCTATGATATTTGTTATGAAGGGCAATTTATAGGATTTGTTACTCAACTGGGGACTGGTGGTCCAACATTGGCCTTCTGCATGCCAGACAGTGGGATAATTCAGTATCAGCTAAACTGACAAGCTGGAAGCCTCGGCTCAAGGAGAACAAATGATGTAGCTGCAATCCAGGCCTGGAAGCTCCCTGGACTGTAGCTGCTGTGCATCTCCATTAGATGGCTGGAGGCTCTGGAGTCTTGTGGCCATGAGTGATGGTGACGGTACTACATGCTCTAGCTCAGGAAGGATGGAGCTAGGCTGCCCTGGCAGGCTTTCTCTTCTTTAATTCTGCCTGGGCTCCCAGACTACTGCATTGAAAATCCACACCCAGGGAGAGACCTTCCCCTGTTACTCTCCTGGAAATCCGTCCTCTCTGACAATGGTTCTAGAACAGACACACCAGAAGTGAGCTTCCCTAATTCTACTCTAGACGTCTGTCAGTCCAGCCATGTTGACAACCCAGATTAACCAAAACACTTCTCTTATTTAAAAAATGTCACAGACTGGAGGGATGGCTCCATGGTTAAGATCACTAGCTGCTCTTCCAGAGGTCCTGATTTCAATTCCTGTCATCCACATGGTGGCTCACATCACCTGTGGGATCTGATGCCATCTTCTGGTGCACAAATGTGCATGGAGGAAAAAAAAACCCATATACATAAAGTACATAAATAAATAACTCTTTAAGAAAAGTCACATTGGACTACAAATACTATACTTAAGTCACCGTCATTTTTAAAAAAAAAAAGAGAAAACCTACTTATTGATTCTATGTATTTCTTTAGTGATTACTCTTGTAAAGTTTTTTCTTGGTTTTAGGATGTCTGTATACCAATATTTATAGCTCTTATTAGCAGCATATAAAAATCTAGTCTGATGATCATTTTATTTGGAGTTTGCTATTTTTAGTAGTTACTAATATATGAGTTACAGTTGCCATTCTTTTGCTTTCTGTTTAATCTACCTTTTTATTTTGAATCACTCTTTTTCTCTTTTCTTGTCTTTTTCCATGTCTTCAATAATACAACTTTGTTATATCTTAACAAATTCACTGTAAGTTGAAAATATCATAGACCCCAAGTGTACAATACACCTAAAGTACGAAGCATCCTAGCACACTGCAGTATCCATTGTTTATCTTCATGATTGTATGGCTTACTGAAAGTTGCAGCTCAGCTTTGCAAAAGTCTATTATGTTACATGTTTATCAACAGTCCAGGAGAAGATTTAAACATAAAGTACAATTTCTGCTGAATGTATACTATATTCCCATCAATGTAAAGTTGAAAAATCCTTTATTAAATAATCATAAGTTGGGAAGTATTTGTACTAAAACTTTAAAACATTTTTTATTTTAATTCATATCCATCTGCCTTTTGGATTATTGTCATACATTTTAATTCTATATGTATGTTAAGCTTTATTTAACATGGCTATTTTTGTACATTCTGTATTTTATGTTTATACAAATATTTTTATGGCACTCAATCATTTCTTCGTTTTTTGGAATTACCTGCCTGAAGAACTGTAATGTTTCTGTCCTAATAATAAATTCCCTCCATTAGGCATCTGAAAACATCTTTATTTTGTTTGCAATTTAAAGGATACATTCTTTGATTCTAGAATTCTTGGTTTGCATGTATTTTATTTTAGTTCTCTAAGATGTAATCTTTGGGTTTTCATAAATCCTATTGAAAATTCAGTCATATGTCTCATTATTCTTTGAGAGGGGATGCATCTGTCTTTGCTCCTAATTTTATTTTTTGTCTGTTCTATGCCCACCACACATTGTACTAGTTGCTGGTAAGAAAATCATGAATGAAATATGGCCCCTGCTTTTGAGAAGCTTGTATTCTGGTACAGGACAAAAGTGTGAAGAGTACCATGTGTGTTCTAGCAGAAATAAGTGCATATCTATTATGAAAGAATACATGTAAAGGGAAAATGATTAGATATTTATCGTATGGTCAGGAACTTAATATGAAAGTATTTACACAGAAGGGAGAGTGTGTGAAAAGCCACTGACCCATAAAATAGGAACACATGATTTATGGGAACTCTAAGTAACTGAATAAAGCAAAAGCATAACAGACTTCTGAGATATAAGCTTTTGAGCTATCTTTGTTGTGTTTTCAACAAGTTACAAAGCCAGGTGGCTCACACCTGTAATCTTAGCACTGAAGAGGTGAGGCAAAGGATCATTGCAAGTTTCAGGCTAACCTAAGCTACATAGTAAGTTGCAGGCCATCTTGAGCTATAGAGTGAGACCTTGTCAAACAGCTACAACACAAAGAATATGTTATTCCTTCAATAAAATTTTATTTATTAAAAGAATAGTCAGTATTTGTTATGCAATTGATACCTTGTTTTGATACTTGTCTATTCAGGATAGTTATTCATACCAAAATGCTATATTCACATTTTCTTTAATAAATAAGAACAGCAAAAGGATGAAAATAATGTTACTATACAGGTATATTTTATTTAGTTCTAATTTTTAAATTTATCAATATTTAAGAAATGTTGAAATACTTCACATTCTTCACCCTCCTTTTTTGTATTAAGTGTTTTAATTATAGTTGGTATCATATTTATGGCTCATTTAAAATCAGACTTTACGTTTTAAGAGCTGTGCCTAATGGATTTTATATTGTACAGTAGGGTGAGCATAGCTTATATAAAAAAAAATTTCTCTCAGAGTTTATTTTTGTCTTTCCACTTCTGTCATTGAAAGCCAACCACCCCACCCCTAATCAAACTTGAAACATTTCACTGCTCCTTATGTCTTCTTTGTCTATTTTCTACCTTTAACTCTAGACTGTTCTAAATGTGGACACCCCTCTTGATTTAGGCCCAGACTTCTGGCCCCAGTCTCCATACTTTTTGTTACCTCGTGAAAATTTTGTTGTCTCTGTTTGAGCCTAAGCTTATGTACTACCAGAAGAATATGGCCATGTTTAATTTCTTTCCAATTCATCTTGAAATCTACTACATGATATTAGAAACTTTTTACATGCTTTTATTCTGTATTTTCTTAGACTTCCTATCTTCCAGCCCACCTTGAGCTCTGCAACTACATCACTTAATCAATCTATTTCCCAAACATTTTACTCACACTTTACCTCTTCTGTAGCTCATATACCCACTTGGCAGTTGCAGGAATTCTATATGTCCACACACAGCAATCAAAAAATACATACATTTGCCTACCTTCTCTATGAATAATTTTTTCTAATGTAAGTTACTCTTCTGATTTCCTCACATTGATTTTTCTCCATTACTTTAGTGTGATTTCGTGTATAATACTTTTTCCTCAACCATATTATTAGCATTTGAACACTTTTATATACCTTCATATGATAATACATTTTGTACATCTTAGATGATTATTCAAGAAGTATATCCTTGATCTGAATATTCTGAAATATATATCTCGATTGGGAATATCATGCATTGATACAGGCAGGAATATCAGGAGTTCAAGTTCAGCCCCAGCCACAAAGCATGTTGGAGGCCAAGCTGAACTATGTGAAACTCTGACTCAGAAATACTATATGTATATTTATATACACACACATATATAACATTGCATCATTAATAACAAAAGCATCAGTTTTCAAAACTGAAATTCTGTACTGCTACTTTAGTAAAATGTAATCCTATAATTACAGGAAATTGGAGAGAGAAGTATAATTGACCAGAGAGAGAAATAACTTTTTCTTTGGATTTTTCTTTAGATGGATACCATCAGAATTGTTCACATCCATTCTGTCATTATCTTGCGACGTTCTGACAAGAGAAAGGACCGTGTAGAAATTTCTCCAGAGCAGCTGTCTGCAGCCTCAACAGAGGCAGAAATATCCTTACTAATATATTAGATGCTTTGTGTTTTGTGGGGCTTCTGGGCCACACAGATGCGATGACGATAGTCATCTTACTTTAGGTGGCTTCATAAGTTTTCTCCTTGGTGAGTGTTCCCTGGTTTTTATATTGACTCTTTAGATATAATTATTTGGTTAGTCATTCTTACCCCCTTTCTCTCTCTCTGTCTCTCTCTCGTGTGTGTGTCTATATTTGGGTACTGTTTCTTTTAAACACTTTTTACCTTTAACAATTTTTACTTTGCCAAGTAGGAAGTTTCCATATGATATTTTCCTACATGCTTACATTCAGTTGACCCTACCTCCATTCCCTCTGCTCCACCATCGCCCTGCCCCCACCCCTACTTAAATCTGTCCTCAGTATTTTCTTTCTGCTTATACATGTGTTCTATCACCCTCCACATTGTGCTTCCTGAAAGCCCTATTCCTGCCCCTCATGGTCCTCTTTCTGGTTTCCTCATATCTACACACATTTATTCCTACAAAAATATACATATATAAAAATTAAAAGCTACGATCCACATATGAAAAAAAAACTTATGCCTTATAACGTGTCTTTCTGGATCTTGGCTACTTCGCTCAATATATTTTCTAACTCCACCACAATTTAGTTATTCATTCATTAGTTGATGGCATCTAGGCTGCTTTCATTTCCTTGATGTGAATGGAACAGCAATGATCATGAATCTGGAAATATCTCAGGGCTATGGGGTTTTTGAAATATATACCTGGGAGTGGTATAGCTGGGTCCTATGGTAGTTATATTTGAGTTATGTGTTTGAGGAGCCTTCATGCTGATTTCCATTACCATGGTATCAGTTTATACTCCCACGAATAGTTCCTTTTCCCCTATAACCTTGCCAGCATAGTTTGTCAATTTTTTTCTTTTTTAATTAAGTTTTTATGTATATGAATGTTTTAATTGCATGTATATATGTGCACTATGTGTGTGCCTGGTGCCTGCAGAGGTCAAAGGGCATTAGATTCCCTGAACTGGAGTTAGAGATAAATGGCTGTGAGTCACCAAGTAGGTGCTGGGAACTCAACCTGGATTTTCTGCAAGAACAATCTTAAACACTGAGCCATCTATCCAGGCCTGTTACTTGCTTACCGACTGGGTTCTGAGTTCTGGGGATGAAATTCAAGGCCTTGTACTTAAAATGCAAGTACCTTGTAAACTGAGCTATCTCCTCATCCCAGGTTAATCAGAATTTCATTTCTTTCTGTTTCTTTTATTGGAAGAAATAAATTTTGAACAGTCATGCTTACAAATATCCACAAGACCCAGGGTAAAACACCGTAACTGTGAACTCTATAGGCAGTTTCTTTTGCTTCCCATCATACTTTCTATGCATTGACTCCATTCCTTCCTGCTCTTCCAATTTTTCTAATTTCTAGGTTCTTCATTATCTTGGTTCCTATCCCTGAAAAGATTAGTTTGTGAAACGTTCCCCCAGAAAAATGTAATGAAGAGAACTGAACACGTTATTCCATGTTAAAGATAACCAAAGAGCCGGGCGATGGTGGCGCATGCCTTTAATCCCAGCACTCGGGAGGCAGAGGCAGGAGGATCTCTGAGTTCGAGACCAGCCTGGTCTACAGAGCTAGTTCCAGGACAGGCTCCATAGCTACAGAGAAACCCTGTCTCGAAAAACCAAAAAAAAAAAAAAAAAGATAACCAAAGAATGATTTGTTTCCTGTAGTCTGAATTCCATACTTTATTTGTGGCAAGTTAACTTTATATTAGTGCCTCTAATGGTTTATTGTTCAACTGGATTAAGTTAAATCTTTTCCTGGTTCTATCTGTACATAAGACTGGAGAAAATGAATTTTAAAATATTTTTTATAATTTTTATTTTTAAGAGAAGGTCTTATTCTGTAGCCTAGTCTGGTCTGGCTTCCACTTCCTGAGTGCTGGGATTGCAGATGGCTACCATAACATCTAGCTTCTTTGTATACTTTTCAAAGTTTATGTTATGCATGTATACTACCTTTTTTTAAAAGATTTATTTATTTATCATATATACTGTATTCTCCACCAGATCTCATTACAGATGGTCGTGAACCACCATGTGGTTGCTAGGAATTGAACTCAGGACCTTCGGAAGAACAGGCAGTGTTCCTAACATCTGAGCCATCTCTCCAGCCCGCATGTATACTACTTACATTTAAATTTTCCTTTTTTTGGTTTGTTTTCTGTAGGTCCACTTTTATTTTGTTTTTTTTTGTTGTTGTTGTTGTTTTTTTTTTTTTGAAACAAGGTATCTTTGTGTAATAGCTCTGGCTGTTCTGGAACTCACTTTGTAGACCAGGCTGGCCTTGAACTCACAGAGATCAGCCTTCCTCTGCCTCCTAAGTGTTGGGATTAAAGGCCTGCATCACCACCTCCTGTCTTATAGGTTGATTTTATAATAAATTGTTAATATTGAATTTAGCGTATTTATGTGTTAACAGTTCATTGGAAGTCAATAACAAAATATACACTTTGTAAAAGTATCTTTTTTTCTTTCTTTTTTAAATTTAATTATTTAATTTAAATTTAATTAATTTATTTATTTTGGTTTTTTGAGACAGAGTTCTCTGGCTGTCTTTGGAACTCATTCTGTAGAAAAGACTGTCTTCGAACTCAGAAATCTACCTACCTTTGCCTCCCAAGGGCTGGGACTAAAAATGTAAGACAACACCAGCTAGCCCAACAATATTTTATTACTTGGAGTATAGTCTCCCAGTCAGACAGGAAATGAAAAAGCAATACTGTTAATGTTACTTTCTTTTTGCTTTGTCTATATTTTAGGATTTAAAGGTTTTATATGCATTTAGAGTATTTTGTTGATATCTCATCAAGTTTTTCTCTATTAAATTTTGTATTTTATAATACTTTGAAATATAAGTAAGATAGAATATTCTAGTTTATATACAATCTCTTAAAATAGGTTTTTCACAGAGATCCACCTGCCTCTGCCTCCTGAGTGCTGGGATTAAAGGCATGCACCACCACCACCCAGCCTGGTCTACAGAGCTAGTTCCAGGAGAGGCTCCAAAGCTACAGAGAAACCCTGTCTCGAAAAACCAAAAAAAAAATAGGTTTTTCAAAGATCTTGGATTGATTACATATAAAAATATATTCCTTTATTAGTCATATGTAATTTCATATTCAGGTATATTTATGCTTTGTGCATTTACATTACTTTTGAACTAATCTTTAGCTAATAGTAGAACTTTTGCACAAATTTCTTAAGTATTTAAGAAATTAGATAAATTAGTTATGAAAAATTTTGCCACTATAGCTTTTTAAAAAGTTGTATTTGTTTTTACTTTAAGCTGTAAATGTTCCACATGTGTGCCTGGTACCTAAGGAGGCCAGAAGAGGGTGACAGATCCCCTGGAACTGGAGTTTATGAACCTGAGTTCTCTGGAAAAGCAGCCAGGTCTCTTAACCACTGAAACATCTCTTCAATCCCTCCTATACCTTTTTTCATCTTTTTATACATTTTCTTTTCACCATAAAATCTCCTTGTTTTAGGACATTGATAAATTTTATTTTGTTTTGTTTTTCTTGTTTTTTTTGAGACAGGGTGTCTCTGTGTAACAGCACTGGCTGTCCTGGAACTAGCTCTGTAGACCAGGCTGGCCTCAAACTCACAGAGATCCGCCTGCCTCTGCCTCCTGAGTGCTGGGATTAAAGGCATGTGCCACCACCACTTTGCTCACATTGATAGATTTTTTTTTTCTTTTGGTTTTTTTGAGACAGGGTTTCTGTAGTTTTGGAGCCTGTCCTGGTACTAGAACAGACTGGCCTCGAACTCACAGAGATCTGCCTACCTCTGCCTCCTGTGTGCTGGGATTATAGGCGTGTGCCACCTCTGCCCAGCCTCATTGATAGATTTTTAACTTGGCAATATCATCACTGCTGCTTTCCTGGTGTAGCAGTCAAACATTATAGGGTTTCTGAATACACAGTAGTCACTCTTCTATATCAGTTGGAGCACTGAAATCTCATAGCATTGGTATTCATCATTTCTTGCTATTTAAACTTCAGGTCCATCTTATTTGCCACTTCTAAGGAATTTGTTAGAGTCTAAAGTGTCTTTACATATGTCAAAAAATATAGTTTGCTTCATTTTAACATCATGATATTTGGTTTTTTTTGTGTGAAGTACACTCCCTAAGAGTCCCTTGGATACACACAAGAAAATGTTGCTCACATGATTTCATTTGTAATTCAGCGATCTTAAAATATGTATTTTATTATCTTATGTGTGGGTATATAAGCCATATGTGAATGCAGGTGCCTGAAAAGTTCAGAAGAAGACATTGCATCGCTTGAAGCTGGAGTTATAGGCAGTTGTGAATTGCCTGATGTGGATGCCAGGAACTAAATCCATATCTTCTGCAATTGTGGTATAGATTCTTAACCATTAAGCCATCTCTCCAGCTCCTAATGTAGCAACTTTGCCACCAGAAAGTGCAAGCCCTAACTGCCAATCAAAACCCTTTATTAGTATGGAAGAATTATCAACAGATTCTCCTAACATGGCCTACTTGATTTCATCTTCCCTATCTTTCAATCTTTGCATGGTTATTTATTGAAGAAATTTATTCAATAATTCAGTTGATCCAGTAGTTGAGATACTTCTTTATCAGATACATTTTTTTTTACCAACTAAAGCTTTGTAAACTTGGCTAACATTTTCTAGAGTATGCACATATACATACATCTATTAAATCCCAAACAGTGTGATAATCTCTATAGAGAATATCCTGACTAGAAATGCTGTTAATTACTTTATGAAGAAAGCTGTCTGTCAGCTTATAGAGCTACTACAAGGTTCCATCTCTGTGTGAAACTGGGGCTTTAGTGACATGACAGGTTCCCAAATGTCATGCTTCATCTAAATGATTCTTCTGTGTTTCAGTATTGCTAATCTGCCCAGGAAAATAATTTGTCAGCTAGGGTATAATGGCACATGCCTGTAATCCCAATACTTAAAGGTAGAAACCAGCCTGTGGTATGTAGTGAAACTCTGTTTTAAAACTAAAATACTTTTATTTCTTTCAACTTTAGTTTTTTTTTATTGTTTGAGACATGTTCTGTCTTGCTATACAGACACATGAGCACTGGGTTCTAGGATGCTGTTGAGCAACTTGGAGAGCATCTGAGCCTTTTCAGGTTTAACTGTGTAGAGCATAGCAACTCTGAGTATAGGAAGTTTTCCTTATTCCTAAGATAGGACCCTTCTAAGCACTCTGCCCCCTGCCTCCTAAAAGATGTCTTTCTACCTTGGCAGGGTATTATAGGGGAAAACAACTGCTGGTCCCATCCTGCTTCTCAGGGCCAAGTAGTTACTTACCATCACCCTTGTAAGGGGCAGTTACTTTTTCTTGGGCCTCAGGTCCTTTCCTCACATACTTGTGTTCCTCTGTGCTTTGTGGAGTACTCAGGTGGGACCCACTGGATATATTTAGGGTTCTGTCTCTTTGAAGATGTTCTCTCCCTGAAAGCCACCAGACTTAATGATCCACTTAGGTTCTGGGTAGTCCACCTGGCCTGACTTTAGTGTACTGTTCCTCAGACTTAGTTGTATAAAATGTATTGTGTGTGTGTGTGTGTGTGTTTAATTTTATGTGTGGGGTATTTTGCCTGCTTATATATGTGTGTGTGTGCCTGGTGCCCATGAAACTAGAAAAAGGTGTCGGATCTCCTGGAACTGAACTTACAGATGGTTATGAACTGCCATATGGATGCTTGGAATTGAACCTGGATTCTCTAGGAAAGCAGCCAGTGCTCTAAACCATGAAACCATTTCTCCAGCCCTTACATAGAATGGGAGAAAAATCTTTGCTGACTATACTTCAGACAGGCAGTAAATATCTGGAATGTATACAGAATTGTAAAAATTAAACACCAGAAAACGCTGCCAATCAATATATGCACAATGAACCTAGTAGACAGTGCATTCTTTTTAAAATTAAATGACTTTATTCCAATTAACTCACAAAAAAAACAGCTAGTTTAACCTAGCCACTCAGACAGTTTCCCAGTCCAAAACTCTATACATCTTAATATAGTTAGAATGATCGTTCTGAAGCAGTAATGCTTCACTTAAGTTGTTTTTTTTTAACTTTCATTATCAATTATATGGGTGTTTTGCCTGCATGTTTGTCTACTCTCTATGTGTATGCAATGCCTTGGAGACCAGAAGAGAGTATCAAACTCCCTGGCACTGGAGTTAAAAATAGTTGTGAGCAGCTATGTGGGTGCTGGGAATTGAACCCAGATCTTCTGGAAGAGCAACCAGTGCTCTTAACCTCCTTAATCCCTCAATTACTTTTTTATTCACTTATCTTTACAAAAAGAAGAAACTATAACAGAGTTGAAACTAGGAAAAAGTAGCACTCGATTCTTCGTGATTCATGTTCTCAAAAGAAGAAACGTCTGGGCACCTGGCATGCACACGGTACACATAATACATGCAAGTAAAACACACAGATAAAATAAAAAAAATAAATCTTTTTAAAGTATTTAACATCCAGCCATCAAGGACATGCAAATCAAATTTATGTTGTGATCCTATTTCATTTTCCTCAAAATGGCAATCATTTGGTTGTGTTTTAATATAGGTAGTTTTTAGGAAAACTAAGCATCATTTTACAGGACATGGGAAACTGAACTGTGAACTTTGGCCTACAACCACTTTACTTTGCTCTTTTTAATATTTGACAACTTACTATAGACATAAATTAAAAAAAATTATTATGGCTTAAAGTCAGAGCAGTTGCCTAGCATGTCTGTTCTCTCCTATAATGTACACATATCAGTATATATATGGTTCTCAACTTGTGGGTCATGACTGCTTTGGTGAACCTCTATTTCCAGAAATATTAACGTTATGATTCATTATAGAAAAGAAATTAGTTATGAAGTAGCAACAAAAAATATTTTATAGTTAGGGGGTCACCACAACATGAGGAACTATATTAAAGTATCACCATAGCATTAGGAAAGTTGTGAGCCAGTGGACATAAATGTACACACACATTGATTTCTTATATATTTTTTACTGGAAGTAGGAGTAGACGAAGATTCTCCAATTGAAAATATAAATGAATTTTAAAGATTTAAACAAGCTTTTTTGCAGAGAATGTAAAGATTTGAGTGAACAAACATTTGCACAATTGGAATAAGACAATAATAGAAATATGAATTATATTTAAAAAATGACTTTAAGTGACTAACATTGGAAATTCTGTGCATCAATCTTTTTTCACCCTTAATTATGTATTTTGAGCCTTTATTATAAGCATCAGGATTTTTCTTATTTTGAAAATACCTTGACAAACATACAGGTTGGCTGAACTTACAGGTCGTCCCATGAGAGTTGTTGGCTGGTATCATTCTCACCCTCACATAACCGTTTGGCCTTCCCATGTTGGTAAGTGTTATAAGGTCGCAGTGCTTGTTTATTTTCCTCAAATGAATATCATTTTTCCTCCATTACATAGCATGGTCATCAAAAGGGAAACTTAGAGAGCATTACTTCTAAGAAATTCTTTTGTCACTTCCAAAGCCTATCTTGTAGTCTAGAGAAAATTATGAAGTTTTAGGGATAGCTAATTTTTTTCTGTGCTACATTTTGTAGTAGGGCCACTCAGGCTAAACATCCTAGAGTTACTATTTAATAGCAAACTTTTCATAATATTTCTCTAACTTGGCAAAATATGCTCTGACATTTATATATCAATACAATACATCTCTATTTTGCCTGTAGAATATGAGTGTTGATAAGGTAACTAATAATTAGTCCTTACTATTATCTCTAAATAAAATCTGCTAAGTAGAATATTTTTATTTATATTTCAGATGTTCGTACACAAGCCATGTACCAAATGATTGATCAAGGCTTTGTAGGACTTATTTTTTCCTGTTTCATAGAAGACAAAAATACAAAGGTATTTTATGTATAAGTGTTTGTGTACATACACATTTGTGTGTGTGTTTATACACAGAGAAGATACAGTTGGAGAAAAATCTCTTTTCATTTTTAATAGGTTGGTCAGGGAAGTTTCCAGTGGGAAGGGTTATCAAGTCAAGATTAGAAGTATGTAAGGGAGCAAGTCTTGAGTGTTTCTTGGGGGAAGATCATCCCTGACAGAGCAAAGAGCAAGTGCAAGCACCATATGGTGAATGTGGCATTTTCAGAGAACATTGAGGAAGCTGGTGTGACTGTAGTATAGAGGGGAAGATGATGACAATGTAGTATAGAGGGGAAGATGATGACAATGTAGTATAGAGGGGAAGATGATGACAATGTAGTATAGAGGGGAAGATGATGACAATGTAGTATAGAGGGGAAGATGATGACAATGTAGTATAGAGGGGAAGATGATGACAATGTAGTATAGAGGGGAAGATGACGACAATGTAGTATAGAGGGGAAGATGATGACAATGTAGTATAGAGGGGAAGATGATGACAATGTAGTATAGAGGGGAAGATGATGACAATGTAGTATAGAGGGGAAGATGATGACAATGTAGTATATATAGAGGGGAAGATGATGACAATGTAGTATATATAGAGGGGAAGATGATGACAATGTAGTATATATAGAGGGGAAGATGATGACAATGTAGTATATATAGAGGGGAAGATGATGACAATGTAGTATAGAGGGGAAGATGATGACAATGTAGTATAGAGGGGAAGATGATGACAATGTAGTATAGAGGGGAAGATGATGACAATGTAGTATAGAGGGGAAGATGATGACAATGTAGTATAGAGGGGAAGATGATGACAATGTAGTATATATAGAGGGGAAGATGATGACAATGTAGTATATATAGAGGGGAAGATGATGACAATGTAGTATAGAGGGGAAGATGATGACAATTTGGTATAAAGGGGAAGATGATGACAATGTAGTATAGAGGGGAAGATGATGACAATGTAGTATAGAGGGGAAGATGATGACAATGTAGTATAGAGGGGAAGATGATGACAATGTAGTATAGAGGGGAAGAATTTGACAATGTAGTATAGAGGGGAAGATGATGACAATGTAGTATAGAGGGGAAGATGATGACAATGTAGTATAGAGGGGAAGATGATGACAATGTAGTATAGAGGGGAAGATGATGACAATGTAGTATAGAGGGGAAGATGATGACAATGTAGTATAGAGGGGAAGATGATGACAATGTAGTATAGAGGGGAAGATGATGACAATGTAGTATAGAGGGGAAGATGATGACAATGTAGTATAGAGGGGAAGATGATGACAATGTAGTATATATAGAGGGGAAGATGATGACAATGTAGTATAGAGGGGAAGATGATGACAATGTGGTATAGAGGGGAAGATGATGACAATGTAGTATAGAGGGGAAGATGATGACAATGTAGTATAGAGGGGAAGATGATGACAATGTAGTATAGAGGGGAAGATGATGACAATGTAGTATAGAGGGGAAGATGATGACAATGTAGTATAGAGGGGAAGATGATGACAATGTAGTATAGAGGGGAAGATGATGACAATGTAGTATATATAGAGGGGAAGATGATGACAATGTAGTATATATAGAGGGGAAGATGATGACAATGTAGTATAGAGGGGAAGATGATGACAATGTAGTATAGAGGGGAAGATGATGACAATGTAGTATAGAGGGGAAGATGATGACAATGTAGTATAGAGGGGAAGATGATGACAATGTAGTATAGAGGGGAAGATGATGACAATGTAGTATAGAGGGGAAGATGATGACAATGTAGTATATATAGAGGGGAAGATGATGACAATGTAGTATAGAGGGGAAGATGATGACAATGTAGTATAGAGGGGAAGATGATGACAATGTAGTATAGAGGGGAAGTTGATGACAATGTAGTATATATAGAGGGGAAGATGATGACAATGTCGTATATATAGAGGGGAAGATGATGACAATGTAGTATAGAGGGGAAGATGATGACAATGTAGTATAGAGGGGAAGATGATGACAATGTAGTATAGAGGGGAAGATGATGACAATGTAGTATAGAGGGGAAGATGATGACAATGTAGTATAGAGGGGAAGATGATGACAATGTAGTATAGAGGGGAAGATGATGACAATGTAGTATAGAGGGGAAGATGATGACAATGTAGTATAGAGGGGAAGATGATGACAATGTAGTATATATAGAGGGGATGATGACAATGTAGTATATATAGAGGGGAAGATGATGACAATGTAGTATAGAGGGGAAGATGATGACAATGTAGTATAGAGGGGAAGATGATGACAATGTAGTATAGAGGGGAAGATGATGACAATGTAGTATAGAGGGGAAGATGATGACAATGTAGTATATATAGAGGGGAAGATGATGACAATGTAGTATATATAGAGGGGAAGATGATGACAATGTAGTATAGAGGGGAAGATGATGACAATGTAGTATAGAGGGTAAGATGATGGAAATGTAGTATAGAGGGGAAGATGATGACAAGGTAGTATATATAGAGGGGAAGATGATGACAATGTAGTATAGAGGGGAAGATGATGACAATGTAGTATAGAGGGGAAGATGATGACAATGTCGTATAGAGGGGAAGATGATGACAATGTAGTATAGAGGGGAAGATGATGACAATGTAGTATAGAGGGGAAGATGATGACAATGTAGTATAGAGGGGAAGATGATGACAATGTAGTATAGAGGGGAAGATGATGACAATGTAGTATAGAGGGGAAGATGATGACAATGTAGTATATATAGTTGGGAAGATGATGACAATGTAGTATAGAGGGGAAGATGATGACATTGTAGTATAGAGGGGAAGATGATGACAATGTAGTATATATAGAGGGGAAGATGATGACAATGTAGTATATATAGAGGGGAAGATGATGACAATGTAGTATAGAGGGGAAGATGATGACAATGTAGTATAGAGGGGAAGATGATGACAATGTAGTATATATAGAGGGGAAGATGATGACAATGTAGTATAGAGAGGAAGATGATGACAATGTAGTATAGAGGGGAAGATGATGACAATGTAGTATATATAGAGGGGAAGATGATGACAATGTAGTATAGAGGGGAAGATGATGACAATGTAGTATAGAGGGGAAGATGATGATAATGTAGTATAGAGGTGAAGATGATGACAATGTAGTATATATAGAGGGGAAGATGATGACAATGTAGTATAGAGGGGAAGATGATGACAATGTAGTATAGAGGGGAAGATGATGACAATGTAGTATAGAGGGGAAGATGATGACAATGTAGTATAGAGGGGAAGCTGATGACAATGTAGTATATATATATAGGGGAAGATGATGACAATGTAGTATAGAGGGGAAGATGATGACAATGTAGTATAGAGGGGAAGATGATGACAATGTAGTATAGAGGGGAAGATGATGACAATGTAGTATAGTGGGGAAGATGATGACAATGTAGTATAGAGGGGAAGATGATGACAATGTAGTATAGAGGGGAAGATGATGACAATGTAGTATAGAGGGGAAGATGATGACAATGTAGTATAGAGGGGAAGATGATGACAATGGATTCCAATTTGCCTCAGTCTCAATTTTTATACTTATATTACAATGCTCTATTTCACTAGCCTTTTTTGTCTCTTGAACGTCTTCTGGTTTGGTTATCCTTAAAGAGGACCAAAATGTTATGGGAACTAGTTCTTTAAAGGCCTTTACTTTGCCTCTGTGTTGGGGAAGCCATTACATGGTGGCTTTATATCTTAATAGAATTACTCTAGGTATTATATTGCTAGTGGACTGGACAGGATTGGAGTGAGAAGGGTAAAATTAATGGCACCAGTGAAACCAGTTAGGGAGATATTGCCAGTAATCTAGGCAAAAGATAATAAACCTTTGATCATGGTGTGTAGAAGATAAGTGTGCTAATAATGAATATTTTCCATGAATTCACTGTCTTTCAGAAACACTAGAATTCAGTATCTGGAACTTTATAATTTTTTTGAAATGCTTTTGGTTTTTTTCACAATTTAATTTGCGTATTGTCCTCAAATAATAAATGAGGTTAATCACTTTCCTGGTTCTCGTATTTGTTAGTAATTGTTTCATGAGAAGATGTTTGGCTGTGATTTATGTTAATTGTGTATGTGATCCTTCTCACAGAAATTGATTTATTATGGCATATTCTATAACCTTTGGAATCTCATTTAGCCTTGTATGTTCATAAAAGCCTTTGAGCTTTAAGTTAGAGTCTACTAAATTGCTATGAAATTTCCAACTCAAAAATGATTAATGGTACACATGGTGATGGTGTCTCATGCCTTTAATCTAATCCTAGCTCTCAGGACATAGAGGCAGGTGGATCTCTGTGAGTTCAAGAACAGCCTAGTCTATAGATCGAGCTCCAGGACAGCCTAGGCTATTCCTCTTTGTCTTAAAAAAACAAACAAAATGATTAATAGTTAAAGATAGAAATGCTTGTTATACTGAGTCAGTTATTATACATTGTATATGTATATTGAATATTATAATGTACTCTGTAATGATATCCAGATATTTTGTCTCAAGAAAAAAAAATAAATCCTTTTGTGTATTACATTTCATTTCTATTTTTTTAAATAGACTGGTTGGGTACTCTACACTTGCTTCCAATCCATACAAGCCCAAAAAAGCTCAGAGTAAGTATGACAGAGATGTTATTATTTATGGACTCCTAGTCATGAAATTGATTGTTCTGTTTCATTTAATTTTTCTCATTAGTAAGGCACTAATAGTACTATATTTCTACTCTTACCTACTAACAATTCTTAAAAAAATAGAATTTCTTTAGTAGTTTTTGTATTCTGAAAGTCTAGGAAGCTGAAGTCAGACACATAATCTTGGTCCATATTTCCTAAATTGTGTTGTACTGCTAGTTTTCCTTTCTCTGGTGTGTTCTAAAGCAAAGACCAAAAGTGAAGAAATTTAGAGATTTTTATAGATAATTCTCTGTTGCTACAGAAACTTTTTCAGTTTTGCTAAGGATTGAACCCAGAGTCCCATAAATACTAGGCAAACATTTACCATGGATATGTAAGTCCTCTCTGCCATAAAAGTCATTTAGTATTTCATTCAGATGTTTGTATGGATTAATATTCTCTTTCAAGCATGGTAGTCAGAGGCTGGAGAGATGGCTCAATGGTTAAGAGCACTGACTACTCTTCCAGAGGACCCGGGTTCATTTTCAGCTCCTACATGGCAGCTTGCCTTTAGTTCCAGTTCCAGTGGATCTGGCACCTTCACACAGACATACATGCAGGCAAAACACCAGTGCACTAAGAAAAGCAAACAAAAAAAAAACATAGTAATCTATTGCTAGGTATGGTGGTATGTGCTTTTAATTCCACCCAGTACAGAAGAAGCAGAGGCAGGTGGATCTCTGTGAATTCCAGGCTAACTGGGGATACATAATAAGATCCTATCTTAAAAAACAAAAAACCAAAACGAAATCAAAACAAACAACCAAAACTCTGTCTACTTTTTTTTTTTTTTTTGCTGTCACAAATAAAGATGATGGTCACTGATACCATCCCACTTCCATTCTCCAAAAATGTAGTTACTATGTTTTCATTTTTGGGGTTACTTTTCTAATCTTTAATAAAGTTCGATTCTTTTTATTTTTGTGTTTTGAAACAGGGTCTTATGTACTCCAGTCTGAGCTCATGATCTTCCTACTTGTGCCTCCTCTGTGTTGAGCTTTCCAGACATGGGCTACCACGCCCACCTAAAGTTTGCCTTTATATTTTATTAACAGTTGACATTAGACAATATTGATTTGTCTCTCCATGATTACTAAATTTTCATAGTTACAAGCATCTCTGCTCAAGATTATAAACATAATTTCATTGCATATGTTTTGTGTATTGATTAAATTATAATAGAAAATAAATTTTATCATTACAATTAGGTAAATGTTATTCCCTCTTCAACTAACTAATATGAACTATGTATTATTAATGATGTTTTTTGCATAGATTTTGTTTTGTTTTCTTTTTATTTGCTTTTTGCTTTTACATAATGTTTTGAATAGATTTTTTTTCCTTCATTTTTATCACTTCCTTAAGTTCTAAACTCTTAGGAATAATGTGAAAACATTTGGAATCTCCACATTTGAAGGATTATTCCATGAAACCATCCTAACCTGATCTGACATCTTACTTTGGCTTGCTGCTCAACTGATATCCAGGGTGGTGGGGGGCTTGTTTCTTTATTTATTCTCCCGAGTTTTATCCATTATAGGGTTCTTGATTTATTGTCATTTTTCTGTAGAGATCCTCTAGTAAGTTCCTAAGAATGGTGAGACTTTTTTTCTGAGTCCCACTTCTCTGAAATATTTTGTTCTTTTTTTGGTTTTTCGAGACAGGGTTTCTCTGTGGCTTTGGAGTCTGTCCTGGAACTAGCTCTTGTAGACCAGGCTGGCCTCCAACTCCCAGAGATTCGCCTGCCTCTGCCTCCCGAGTGCTGGGATTAAAGGCGTGTGCCACCACTGCCCGGCTGTTTTATTCTTAATAATAGTTATGAGAATTGAGGCATAAGTCCTGAACTCAAGGTTAGCATTCTCTTTAACTTATCTAACACATTCCTGTCTTTTGGACTTGACATCCTAGCAGAAGCAGGTCCATTATCAGCTTCTCTCACAACTTTCTCTTTCTTAGTAGGACACGTCAATTTCTTTCCCCCCATCCCTCTATATTTGCTCCCTTTCTCTTTAGAGAACTAGAAATAGAAGGGAACTTCTACAACATTTATGGGCATTTATTAAAACTGTAAATTAGATGTTATATACATTGTTGACAAAGAAAAGTTTGCCACATAAACAATTGGCACTGTTACTCAACATTGAACTGGTAATTATGACCAGAGCAAGAGGTTCAACATCAAAATTAGACAAAGTTTCATGGTTCATGTTCAAAACACAAAATCAGTTGTTTGTATTTATCAGCATTTTACAAATGAAATATGGGAAAATAATTTTATTTAAAATAGCATTAAGTTTAGTAAAAGATATAAGAGAAAATTTAACCAAGGCTAGAAGAAATTTGATGCATTAGAACTAGAAAGTACTAAAAGAAATAAAAGAATTTACACATACATATTTATATGTATATGTATGTGATTGAGTTTGCTTCTTTATTTCAGTGATAAAACAATGCTAAAACAGTTTGGGGATTAAATGGTTTGTTTCACCTTTTATCTTATAGCTTACTATTAAAGGGAGATATTGCCGGAATTTAAGATAAAAACCTAGAGCAGAAACTGATGCAGAGGTCATGAAGGAGTGTGTGACTTACTGGCTTGCTCAGCTGTTTTCTTATAACACCCAGGACCACCTGCCCAGGGGTGGTACCATCTACAGTGGGCTGGGCCATCCCATATCAATCATTAATCAATAAATTTCTCTCATTGATATTCCCACAGACTAATTTGATGAATGCAATTTTTTGATTAAGGTTTCCTCTTTTCAGGTTACTTGAGTTTGTGTCAAGTTAACAAAAACTAACACAGTGATATATAGAATACTTGATATTGTTAAATGATAGTAGTCCCTAAAGATATCTAGAGTCAATGAAATACTTATATTCCAAAGGTCCTTTTTGTTGCATACATGGAAAAGATAATTATAAAATCTAAGATATATGGAATAACCAATATTGATAAAAAGAAGACAAAATCAGATAAATAAGTTTTTTAAACTTAATATATAGCTTGCATAGTGTGAAACTAATATATATATATATATATATATATATATATATATATATGCGCCAATGGAATGAACTGAGTGATTCAAAATAAAACCAAATCAACCTTTGGCAAGGGTGCCAATGTCACTGAATGAGAAACAAATATTTTCTTCTGAGTGGTGCTTTAATAATTATATATACATAAAAGTAAAGTTGGAACCCCCACTTCACAGCATATATAGAAATTAACTACAGATAAACGAGTGAACTAAATATGTAATCTAAAACCATAAATACTTAGAAAACGTAGGTTAAATCTGATGACATTTGAGCTTTGCAATATGACAAGTTTTCATAGCTGTGATAGCAAAACATGAATAACAGAATAGATCCATTTGTAAAACAAAACTTGTTTATGAGAAGATATTAAGAAAGTGAAAAGGCAGCCTATAAGATTGAAAATATTTGCCAATTTTATAACTAATAAAGGTAAACTAGGGGCTGGACAGATGGCTCGGCGGTTAAGAGCATTGCCTGCTCTTCTGAAGGTCCTGAGTTCAATTCCCAGCAACCACATGGTGGCTCACAACCATCTATAGTGAGACCTGATGCCCTCTTCTGGCCTGCAGACATACATGCAGGCAGAACACTATACATCATAAATAAATATTTTTTAAAAAGGTAAACTATCTGGAATATTAGGAGAAAAATTTAACATTAGACATGATAGTTCATTCCTGTAATCATAACACTTAGGAGGCTGATTCTGGAGGATTGCAGTGAGTTAGAAGAAAATCTCAATTGCATAATGAGTTCAGCTAGGCCACACCATGACATCATTGCCAAACTTTGTCTCAAACAAGTCTTAATATTGGATCTGGTGGTAAATCACTATAATCTACCAGTATTTGTTAGGTGGAGGCAGGAGAATCAGAAGTTCAAGATTACCTTGGCTGCTGAGCAAGTTCAGTGACAACTTGGGCTAAACGTCAAAACAATAAAGACAAATTATCAATAAAAAGATGAGTGAGCCAGACATGGTGGTGCATATCTTTGATCCTAGCACTCAGAAGGCAGAGTTAGGTAAATCTCTATGAGTTCAAGGCCAGTGTGGACTATATAGTGAGTTCTAGGCCAGACAGGGCCACACAGTGGGACTGTCTTAGTAAAGAAATGAGAAACAGGAATCACCAATGTAATAATATAATAATGAAATTGTTGACATGTCTATATATTTATAGGTAGTTTTAAAAAGCAGTAATAAGGAACTACGGAGATGCCACCATAGCAAACTATATAATACTCCTATCCAGAGAATAGAAGACCAAGATTACCAAGAATGTCATGGACTAAAACTGGCCAGTGGTATCAGAGTGGCTCTGATCAGTGATCCCACCACAGACAAGTCATCAGCAGTACTTTTGAACATAAATTGTTAGACTCTCCAAATATTTCTGGCTTAAGTCACTTTTTGAATATACGCTGTTTGGTAAATATCATAAAGAAAATGAATATAGTCAGTTTCTCAGTGAACATGATGGAAATCAAAGTGTCTTTTCTTAGCAGAGAATGCACCAATTACTATTTTAATGTTTTTAGTGGACAACAAGAAGGAACCCTGGACAGGTTTGCTAGTTTTTCCTATGCCCCTTGTTTGACTCTAGTTGTAAAGATAGAGAGGTGAATACAGTTAATTCAGAACATGGGAAGAATGTGATGAATGACACCTGGAAACTCTTTCAGTCAGAAAAAGCTACAGGGGATCCTAAACATCCCTTTAACAAATTTTGGATAGTTAACAATATATTGTAGAAACTTGACTCAATTAAGAAGACGTTGACATAAGACCAAAAAATACTGAAATTCCATTCTACTTATTCATCCAATCTGATGGCTATTTCTGTTTTAGGTCAATAGAGGAATTCTTCAAATATTTCATAGAGGGGGCTGGAGAG